CCCCTATCCCGACCCCATTCCCGGTCCGCGCTCTCCTGGCCCGCCCCCTCCCGCACCGTCCCGGYCCCTCCATGGCGGCCCGCGCAGGCGCGGCCAGGCGGCGACCCACGTCTCCATGGCGACGCGGGCGCTGCTGGGAGGGGCCGCGGCGCGAGGGCTGCTGGGAGCGGCCGCCCCTGGCCGGCCCGGGGCAGTTCAGGGCGGTCCGGTCCGGTCCGGTCCGGTCCGGTCCAGTCCGGTCCATTCCGGTCCGGCCCGGTCGGGTCGGTGCGCGCAGCCGCCTCGCGCGGGGTCGCAGCCTCGCGCCGGGAGGTCGCGTGTCCGCGGCGGGGAGCGGGCGGCTCGCGCGGGGCTGCCCGGCCGCGGGGCGGCGCTCGGCGGGCCGTGCAGCGGGCGCGGCCCGGGAGCCGCCGGCCCCGGCCGGTTGCGGCAGTGCCGCCCCGGGGCACGCAGGCCGCAGTCGGTCCTCGGCAGGGCCCACGTCGCTTCCCGCTCCCCAAGGGCAGCAGCAGCTTCCTGCCCCTCGTGCCTTCCCGGTCGCCCTGTCGAGGGCCTAGTGCGCGCTGAGGAGCAGCGAGGGGCCGCTCCCCGCGCAGCCGCTCCCCGCGCGGCCGCTCCCGGAGCCGTGGTTTGTCCACAGGAGCGTCCCCGCGCCGCAGCTGCTGGGAGGGGAGAGGCCCGCGAGGCCGGGGTGCCGGCAGGCGGCGATGCCCCCGGTCGCTGCCGTCCCCCGCGGCAGGCGGCGCGGCCGGCGGCCACGCGCAGAGCTGCGCTTTCCCCGGGGCCATGCAGACAGAGGGGCCCCTGCGAGCAGAGGCAGCAGAGCCGGCTCCGGGGCAGGCTCAGCCTCCCCRACAGCGATGTGGGTTCCCGTGAGCCGGGGTAACCGCTGGACGTGGGACACAAACCCCACGGCTGCGCTGCTCGTGCTGCGGGCCRGGCACGTCGCGCCGCGGCGCCGCTGTCACCGGTGTGGGAAATGACGGCGGCAGCGACCCGCAGGAACAGCCAGCGCGCTGCGCCTGGGCACCGCAGACAGGCAGAGTAGTTTTTGCAAAATATTTATTACAAAATAAAAGGAAATATGGCAACAAAACTTAAATAGCAGATGACGTGACACTGACCATAAAGCTCTTGCTGTATTATTCTAATTAGTCTTTTACAATAATCAGCAACATCAAGTATGTCTCCAAGAGAAGCTGCGTGTAGACAGCCCAAATGTACTGCTATATTATGGGCTCTGCTGCTGGAGGGGTTCGAGCGGGGCCCGGGAGCCCTCGTGCCACGTGCTGGGCTCAGCGTGCCGAGCTCCGCAAGCCGCCCCGTCCCTGCAGCCCGCTCCCTCCCTGCTGCGCTTCCCAGGACACAGCCCATGATGCAGCGCCCGCCCCTTCTCGTCGGGAAACAGGAGCAGCCCTGAGGTGCCTGCAGGGAACAGCGCTCGTCCCGCGAGGAGCTGCTCGCCTGCCTGCCCTTTCCCGCCTGCTGCAGCTTCCCAAGGAGGCTCCCAGGTGAGAGCGAGTCAGAGCGCGAGCGGGTTCCTGCGGGAAGRGCCTTAGGGTGCGCTCTGAGCGGGAATGCAGCCCCAGGCCCTCCAGCCACATGTCCAATGGAAGCACTCTTAAAAAAAAAACCCAAAAACTCTGGGGGGGGAATCTTCCTAAGGCACCCAAGTATTTAAAAAAACTTTTCCTGCTCGTATTACCTACAGGACACTCCTGTTCATCTTCTCTCCAAAGTTAATAATGTTGGCTAGTTAGGAACCTTAATGGACATGAAGACATAGTTGAAGATCATTTAAAAAAAAAAAAAGAAAAAGCAGAACCAAAAGGAAACTCTTGGTAAATGTAAAGCACTATGTCCAGACAGCCCAGGCCGCACGGCTTCACTAGCTACACAGATACATCACGGACAACATGTAGAAATAGTCACATTAATTCCAAGGTTTCCATTGTCAGCAAAAAGATGTGCTATAGCCGTGTCAAAAACCAGGCAGTCACTGTTGTGGATGGCGGCAGTGACGCCGTCGTGGATGGAGCGCGGCGTCGCCTCCCACGTGAGCCGGCGCCGGTTGCCGTTCAGCTCCAGTCTGTACGCAAAGTTCTCCGCCTGCTTGCGAGTGCCGATGAGCAGCACGATGGCGAAAAACTGCTGGTGCCCCTCGTACTTCTCCTGCTTCTCCAGCACCAGCATGAAGTGGTGGCCAAAGCAGGACTGCATCATGACCCAGTCAACGGCGCCCGGGAGGTTAATGTCTGTGGCAAGAAAAACGATGTCTTCCCCCTGCAGGGTGGTGATGCTTTTGTGGGCGTGCATGAGGTGGGACATGACGGCTTCCAGAGAGCCCTGCCACTTGCAGGAGGCTCCGGGGCACGGGCAGGAGTAGGGCCGATACTCGCAGATGTCCTCGTGCTCTGGCTTTTCCGTGTGGTGGAGCGTCAGCGAGCAGCCCGTGGTGGCGTACTGCGAAACGAGATGGGAGCCGTGAACAAGCGCGCCCGCGCTGCTGCTGCAACGCTGTGCATCCCCCTGCTCCCTGCACCGCTGCAACGCTGCATATCCCCCTGCTCCCCGTGCTGCTGCTGCTGCAGTGCTGCGCGTCCCCCTGCTCCCTGCACCGCTGCAATGCTGCGCGCCCCCCTGCTCCCTGCACCGCTGCAACGCTGCGCACCCCCCTGCTCCCTGCACTGCTGCAACGCTGCGCGCCCCCTGCTCCCTGCACCGCTGCAGTGCTGTGCGCCCCCCTGCTCCCTGCACCGCTGCAACGCTGCGCGCCCCCCTGCTCCCTGCACCGCTGCAACGCTGCGCGTCCCCCTGCTCCCTGCACCGCTGCAAAGCTGCGCATCCCCCTGCTCCCTCCACCGCTGCAAAGCTGCGCGCCCCCTGCTCCCTGCACCGCTGCACCGCTGCGCGTCCCCCTGCTCCCTGCACCGCTGCACCGCTGCGCACCCCCTGCTCCCCGCCGCCCGCTGCAGCTGCAACGCTGCGCGTTGCCTCTGTGCCACCGCAAGCTTCCCACTGCCCACATGTGCTCAGCTCCAAATTCAGAGCTCAGCTGCATTTATTATATCTGCCCTATATAGAGGCTCTTGTGCTGTGTTTTGTGGTTGCTTTTCCAGTGTGAGCGCTTAGATGAAATGGATTGCTGGGCTGAGCTGCAGTTACACCTGATCCGTCCAGATCAGCTGAAGTGGCCATGCTAGGGATTTTCTTTTCTTTATAAAGAACAAAGGCTTCTAGCTAACAGCTACTAGAGGGAAATATTTTTAATAAATGTACCCTATTACCATCATGGAACAAAAGCACTTCCATTAAATTCCAGGGCAGAATCCCAACAGTTTTCAATTTAGTTCCAACGCTCTGCAGCTGTGAGAAGCAAGCGGGAAGGTGGTTCTTGGCTAAGCGCAAGCTCAGAGCACAGGGCAGTGCCGTGTTCTCAGAGGCCTGGGCGCTCGGGTCCCTCGCTGGGGGCTTTTCCCTTCTCGCAGCGACTCTAGGTGTCCCAGCGGGTGGGCGCCGCTCCTGCTGCCCAGCAGCTCTTTCCGTGGGCAGGAGCCACACGAGGTACTGAACCGCGCGGAGACAGGCGCTGCGCAGAGCCCGTCCTGGGCACAGCCGCTGCGAAAGCTGCGGCCTTTCGGTCACTGGGGTTAAAGGCAGAGCAAAATCTTCTATAATCTTTCATAGTCTAACTACAGCTCCATCTATTTGAGAAGTCACGTGATTCCACTATTAAAYAGCTTGTAGGTAAGGATCTTTCAGACCACTTCTACATATCATCAAGGAAAACGAGCAAAAGCCATCCCTAAAAAATGTTCTTTCTCCAGTCACCACTAGGGCTGACTAGCGGGGCCCAGGGGCCTCTATCCTTGTAGTTAATCCTGGAGAGACAGCRTGAGACCAACCTGACCAAAGATCAGCTAAGCTGCTAACCCTGGATTTGCTAAGGGACAAAGTGTATAATCTCTAGCATGCTAAAGGAGTGAAGTGGCTGCAAGCAGTCTATGTTTAACATTCATATTTATACCTGCTTGTTTACAGCTTAAATCTGTGCAGAATTAATGCTGCTTACACACGATTGATTAGCAAAACACACCAAGCGTTTGGTTGTTTTAACCCTGTGCAATGCAGATTTTTGGGAGGTTCTTGACATTAAGGACTGGAGCTGTCTTGTCCTCACACCCAGCGCAAGCCAAGGTTCCCTCTCAGCGCCAGATACTTGTGCTGTAACTGGTCTGAGGTGAGGAACCTGCTCTGCACACAGGGTTAAAAATGCAGCTGTGCCACTAAGGCCTATGCTGACATGACTGTTTTCTGCATTTTCTTTACCCTCCTAACGACTTCTTACGCTTTTTGCATAGCGTTTATGTTCCAGGACATGTTTTTATAGTAGTTTATTGTAGTACCATATTCTCTTTCCTTAGAGGAAAAAGTCAGGTGAGAGTTCATTGCTGTATGTGTAATTTAGGATGCCATGCGTGTCACTTGGCAYGTGCTGCTCTGCGCTGCATTTTGCTGGAGTGCTGCGCACGTGTGGGATGCCCCTGGAGGGCTGCTCGGCCTGGGCGCGGAGGCCGCCGGGGCTGCGCAGCCC